TGGAGGCACTTAACTTGGTTATGCCAGGAGATTTGGAAGACAGCTACTTGGCCAACTGACTGGAAGAGATCCATATTTGTACCCATTCCAAAGAAAGGTGATCCCACAGAATGTGGAAATTATCGAACCATATCATTAATATCGTATGCAAATAAAATCTTACTGAAGATAACTAAAAAACGGTTGCAGCAGTATATTGACAGACTTTTCAGAAATGCAAGCTGGATTCAGAAGAGGATGTGGAACAAGAGATATCATTGCTGGCATCAGATGGATTTTGGCTTAAAGCAGAGATACCAGAAAGATGTTTACTTGTGTTTTATTGATTATGCAAAAGCATTTGATTGTGTGGATCATAACAAATTATGGGTAATAGCAAGAAGAATGGGCATTCCAGAACACTTAATAGTACTCATGAGGAACCTGTACATAGACCAGGAGGCTGTCGTTCGAATGAAACAGAGGGACATTGCATGATTTGAAATCAATAATGGAGTGTGTCAGGGTTGTATCCTTTCACCATACTTATTTAATCTATATGCTTGAGCAAATAATCTGAGAAGCTGCACTATATGAAGAAGAACGTGGCATCAGGATTGGAGGAAGACTCACTCACAACTGGTGATATGCTGGCAACACAACTTTGCTTGCTGAAAGTGAGGGTGACTTGAAACACTTACTGATGAAGATTGAAGAATACAATCTGCAGTATGGATTACATCTCAAATAAAGAAAACAAAAGTCTTCACAACTGGACCCATAAGCAGTATCACAATAAATGTAGAAAGGATTGTAGTTGTCAAAGACTTAACATTGCTTGGTTCTATAATTGATGCCAATGGAAGCAGCAGTCAGGACATCAGAGGATGTACAACACTGGGCAAATTGGCTGCAAAGGACCTCTTTCAAGTGCTGAAGAGCAAAGATATCTCCTTAAAGACTAAGGTGTGCCTGACACAGGCCATGGTGTTATCATTTGCCTCATATAGATGTGAAAGCTGGATAATGAATAAGGAGAATAAAAGTTGATGCTTTTGAGTTGTGGTGCTGGTGAAAAATGCTGAAAGTATCATGGACTGCTAAAAGATCTAACAAATCTGTCCTGGAAGAAGTGCAGCCAGAATGCTTCTTGGAAGCTAGAATGGACAGACTTTGTCTCACCTACTTTGGTAGTTCAGTTTGTGTGTTAATTTGGCTGGACTTGGTTGAGTGGCTTGGCAGCTGAATGTAGTATTCTCCTTGATGAGACTTGTATCAACTCTATGGTGGAATCTACTGTGAGCAGCTGAGTGGCTGCCTTAGGGATGTGGTCTGCTTCCTGTATATAAAGAGAAGTCTTGGGGAATGATCTCTAGCTTATGGCACGCATGAACCCTGCATGTAGCCGTGTCATTGTTCAGCAGCCTGCCATGCTCTTCCGACCTTGGGACTTTAAATGCACTTGAGTTAATGGCCTGCCGTGTGGTTTGGTAACATGGGGACTGTGCCTTTTTACTTGTCAACCTTGGGTTTGTCAGGCTCAGCAGCTAGCACCTGTCTAAGTGAAGAAAAGCCTCTAACTTCAGTGGGCCAGGAGCTGGAGGCAGAGCTGATGCCCAAGGCCAAGGGACTTTCATCCAGCCCCTAGAGCCTGGCACTTTGAACTTGGACTTAAAGCCTCCAAACTGTACGAGAATAAGCTCCATCCACATTTGTGGTATATTCCTGTCAGAGCAGCACTAGGTAACCAGAACACCTACTTTGGTCATGTTTGTAAGTAGGGACCATTCCCTAGAGAAGGATGTCATGCTTCGTAAGATAGGAGAGTCGACAAAAGAGGGGAAGGCCCTCAATGAGATTGATTGATACAGTGGCTGTGGCGATGGGCTTAGGAATAACAAGGATCATGGAGCTGGTGTGGGACCGAGCAGTGTTTCGTTCTGCTGTGCATAGGGTCGCCATGAGTCAGAAACAACTCTATGGCACCTAACAACAACAACGACAATACACAGTTATGATCAGTCCAATCAGTGAATATGCATGATTATATTAGACACCCCCCCCTTTCCTGAAGTTCTCCAGATACGTGACTGCTATAGCCCCTACTTTCCTTGCTATTTTAGAAAGACAATGAGCACCTAATTGTTCCAGGCTATTTTCAGAAACCAGAGTCAAAGGACCAGACTAAGTACTTTGTCCCACAGAGATATAATTTGTTTTAAAGTAATGCAAATGCATAGTGTGTTAGTTATCTAGTATTATTACAGCAGAACTACCACAAGTGGATGGCTTTAACAGAAATTTATTCTCTCACAGTTTAGGTGCTGGCTCTAGGGGAAAGCTTTCTCTGTCTCTCCTGGTTCTAGGAGGTTCGCAGCTCAGGGACCCTAGGTCCAAAGGACATGCTCTACTCCCAGATCTTCTTTCTGTGCTCACTTGTTTAATCTCTTTTATATCTTAGAAGAGATCAACTCAAGATACAGCCTAATCCTGTAGATTGTGTCTTGCCTCATTAACATAATTGTCATGAGACCTCCTCATTAACATCATAGAGGTTAGGATTTACAACACATAGGATGATTACATCAGATCAAGAAATAGAGAACCATTACATTAATACTGAAAATTATGACCTAGTCAAGTTGAAACATATTTTGGGGGACACAGTTCAATCCATAGCACACAGCATGATTGATTTTTATTGCTTGTGTTTTATTATAGTCAAAGATTAGAAATAAGAGCGCAAGTTGCAGATGCCTTCTTAGCCAAGTTCCAGTTAACTCCTGATGAAATGAGTCTTCTCCGAGGTACAAGAGAAGGACCTATTACTGAGGTATCCTATTGTCTATGATTCTGCTGTCTGTTATAATGATTTAAAGCATACTAGCCGACTCGATGGCAAATAACAACAACAACAACAACAGTTACAGAAACTATAGAGAAATGCCTTTTAAGTCTTTATTTTCCCATCTGAAAAATAAAAATTTGATCTAAAAATGTTTTAAAATTTTAAATTTGTTTAGAAATTAAGAGGGAGCTCTGGTGGTATAGTGCCTAAGGTATTTCACTGCTAACCAGAAGGCTGGTGCTTCAGATCTACCATCACTCCTTGGAAGGAAGATTGGGCAATCTACTTCCATAGAGATACCGCCTCAGAAACCCAAGGAGGGGTCACTGTAAGTCAAATTGACTTGATGGCAGTGAGTTTGAGTTTGGTTTTATTTTTAAATTAATTTGTTTCAATTTTTATTTTTTCAAAGTAATATATATGTGTGTGTGTGTGTATATATATATGTTGTTAGAAATGAGAATACAATAAGGCTTATAATAAAAAGCATGAGTCAACTTCTTCCATTCCTCCTCATCTCTAAACTTTGGCAACCACTGGCAATCATTTTCAGCCTTCCTAATTGCTTCTTTTATATATTCTATGTTCTAGATCTGTTAGCTAAAAAGAAACTGCTGTGATTATTATATTTAATTTTAAAATTTATTTTCTATCCTGAAATATGAGGATTTTGTTCTTGCCTCTCTCTGCCCTCTCCTTCCAACACAAACATAAACACTTTCACAAACTGTCCCCTGTATTCCTTATAATATAGTTACATCACACTTTGTGTGTACATTGCATTGAAAGTACAATGATTATATGTTCTTTCTTTTACAGCTTTTTTTCCCCCAGAGTTAGAAATTACCCAAGTTTCAGCTCATGGATTTTTTTTTTTTTTTAACCTGTTGTCATCCTTTCCAAATTCACGGACAGAACTATAAAACCTTTTTAATATAAGGGAAGAGTTTCATTTTTTTCCTTAAAGACATTCAGAGGAATTCTTAGTCTCCTACCTGAGATGAAGTATAAGCCTGCTGTTCTCGTTCTGGCATATGTGGTCATGGTGGGGTCTCATTGAGCATCTTTTGAAATGTCACTATAATCTTACCTCCTAGACAAGAATGGGACCAGCCATCTGGGTGTAGGGAATTAAGTGGGTGAGAGCATTTGGTAGGGATATATTACTTATTAGTACTTATCTTCCTTATCCTTCAATGAACTTTGCACATTTGACATCTTTGACATCTCACCTTGTCTCCACTGGATAGAGAGGAGAAGAGATTTCTAGCTTTAAGTCGTATTAAAAATAACAAACAAAAACATATTTTTCCTGTTTGGAGCCATATTTATGGCTATCTGGAAACTATAAACAAAATAACTATACATTTTGCTAAAGGAAAAAAAAAAGATTGGTGTTCAGTATCAATCAACTCCAATATATTTGCTGTTGTTGTTTGGTGCCGCTGAGTCGGCTCTGACTCATAGTGACCACAGGTACAACAGAACGAAACACTGTCAGCTCCTGCACCATCCTCACAGTCTTTCTGTGCTTGGGCTCATTGCAATCACTGTGTCACTTCATCTCGTTGCAGGTCTTTCCTTTTTCTCTGACCCTCTGCTTTACCAAGCATAATATCCTTCTCTATGGAATGTCCCTTCTGACAACGAGACCAAAGTAGGTGAGGTGAAATCTGGTCATTTCACTTCTATGGAGCATTCTGGCCATACTTCCTCAAGGACAGATTTGTTTCTTCTTTTGGCAGTCATGGCATTTTTGGAATTCTTCACCAATACCACACTTCAGAGGCATCAACTGTTCTTGGGTCTTCTTTATTCATTGTCCTGCTTTCACATGCTTATGAGGTGATTGACAACACCTTGGCTTGGGTTAGGTGCACCTTGGTCTTCAAAGTGACATCTTCACTCTATAAAACTTTAAAGATGTCTTTTACAGCACGTTTGCCCAGTGCAATATGACTGATTTTTGATTGCTCCTTCCATGGGTGTTGATTGTGGATACAAGTAAAATGAAATCCCTGACAACTTTAATCTTTTCTCCATTTATCATGATATTGCTTATTGGTCCAGTTGTGAGGATTTTTGTTATCTTTATGTTGAGGTATAATCCATACTGAAGATGCTAGTCTTTGATCTTCATCTGTAAGTGTTTCAGGTCATCTTCACATTTAGGAAGCAAGGTTGTGTCATCTGCATATTGCAGGTTTTTAATGATTCTTCCTTCTATCCTGATGTCACATTCTTTTTCATATAGTCTGGCTTCTTGGATTATTTGCTCAGCATACAGTTTGAATAAGTATGGTGAAAGGATATACCCCTGATGCAGACCTATCCTGAATTTAAACTATGCAGTATTCCCTGGTTCTGTTCAAACAATAGCCTCTTGGTCTATGTACATATATTTAATGAATTTCTTTTATGTGTCCAACTTTGTATTTGATTCTTGGATGAGAGGAGCAGAAAAAGTTATCTAAAAGACATATAAAACATTGTCTTTGGGGATAAGAATATTATGCTTAATTACACATTAAATAAAATATGTAACACATATAGCACATTTTGCTTTATATAATTATATAAAATTTAGATTTGCATTTCTTTCTCACTAGACTGTATGCTTCTTGAGGATAGGGATTTTTGTTTTTACAATTTTTCTCCTGGGATCTAGCACACCATTTGTCACATAATAGCATTAATTAACATGTTTTAAAAATGTGAATAAAAACATGTTACATACACCCTTTATAAGTACTTAGTCAAAGTTGATATCTACATAGGAAAGCTTCATTACAATAGGTGAAATAATTTATTTCCTTTTGTAGTGAAATTTCATTGAGAGTAATATACTTGCATTAAAAAAAATGGACATTTTAAGGTCATATTCTTTATTTTAAAGGATTTTTTCAAAGCACTGGGAAGAGTAAAACAGATTCATAATGACGTCAAAGTTCTCTTGCGTACAAACCAACAGACGGCAGGGTAAGTAATGTTTTCATTGAAGTAATTACCTTGCCTTTATACTTTCAAAATGTCAGAGATATTCTGTGTTCTTATGGAAACTTTGTGACATTTTGTGAATTAGGAGTTTAATCTTTATTTATCTTTGGATAAGGAGAAGTTATAGCCTGACAGGATTAGAGTAAAATAGCAGTTGGATAACTAAATGATGGTATTAAAATTTGACAACATTCATTTAATTAAAAAAATTTTTGAAAAGTAATTTCTTAGAATGATAAGAAATTAATATACTATAAGCAAATAATTTTCTTATAAAAATTAATTAAGTACTTAGATGTAGCTGTTGGAAGTTAAAATAATAATGAATCTAAAATTTTTTAGTTTAGAAATTATGGAACAGATGGCCTTGCTTCAAGAAACATCTTATGAAAGACTTTACCGATGGGCTCAAAGTAAGTTAAATTTTTTCATGTGGTATAGATTCATAAATATTAGTGATTGATTTTTTAATTTCCCTTGATCTTTATTATATTTTGATCTTTGTGATACAAATATTTGAAAAAAACAAACTTTATATTAGAACATACTGTGCTTTGTATTTATATAGGCAGCATCTATCTACCAAGCACTATGCTAGATTAAAGATAGGAATGAAAGAAAAATGAAGATAATATTTCTGCCCCAGATTATTAAAATTATACATCTATTCTCATTTGCATAACTGTATTATAAATGGTGCTTTACTGTCCTATTGCTGCAGTAACAAACCACCATAAATTTAGCAGCTTAACGCCACCTAGATTTATTATTTTACTGCTGTAGGTCAGAACTCTGACTTGAGTTCATTCAGATAAAATGAATATGTTGGCTGGGTTGTGCTCCCTCTGGAAGCTCTGGGAAGGCCTCTGTTTCCTTGTTCACTCAGGTTGATGGCAGAACTGTTTCTTGCGATTGTAGAACTGCAGTTGCTGGCTGTCATCTGAGGGCCTTTGCTAGCTTCTGAAGAGCACAAGCATTCATTGGTTTTTGGCCTTCTTTCTTCAGAGTCAGCCACAAAGAGTCACTTTCTCTTAAGCTCTGAGTCTCTGTGGCCTCTTCTTCAACTTTACCTCTCTTATCTCTTTTACCAGCTACATCCATTTTTAAAGGGCCCATGTGGTTATATTGGGATCACCTGGGTAATCCAAGATAATCTCTCTAGTTTAAAGTTTATAATCTTAATTCCATCTGCAAAGTCATGTAATGTAGCATACATGTTCCAGGAATTATGATACAGACATCTTTGGAGTGTCATTATTCTACCTTTGACAAGTGGTTTAATATACCTTAGTTAGTATGTGTTGTGCGTTCTTCTAAGGAGCTCTGGTGGGGTAGTGCCTAAGGCATTTGACTGCTAACCAGAGGTTGGCAGTTTAAACTCACCAGTCACTCCATGGAAGAAAGACTGGGCAATCAGATTCCATAAGGATTTACTGCCTTGGAAACCCAAAGAGGGTCGCTGTGAGTCAGAATCAACTTGATGGCAGTGAGTGTGGTTTTGGTTTGGTGCATTTTTTTGTTTTAAAACATTTTAATATACTATTTAAATAAGTAGTCTATTATAACCGGAGTAGTTAACATAAGCAAGAGTGGTGGAGCAGGAGAACATACTTTAATAGGTGTTACCACCAGACTATTTGAGGGAGTTGGAATTAAATCTAGTCAGCTAGTTGCACTGGAACTGTATTGACTTCTGTCAGGAAGATTTTATCTCCAAAACCTGTTCATTTTTCTTCTTCTTTTATTGTTCATACTGTTTTTGCCCATCTGGACTGTTTTTGTCTAGGTTTCTCTGTGTCCATATCTTATCTTAACCTTCAAGGCCAGGCTTAGGTTCTTTGTTTCCCTGGATCCATGAGTACATTGAATCAAGTGTCTTTTCCATCTGTGAACATTTACTGCTGAAAATATTTGACACTTATGGAGCTGTGGTGGTACAGTGTCTAAGGCATTTGACTGCTAATCAGAAAGTTCACACCCACCAGCCACTCTGCGGAAGGAAGACCAGGCAATCTGATTTCATAAAGATTTACTGCCTTCGTAACCCAATGAGGGTCACTGTGAGTCAGAATCGACTCAATGGGGGTGGTTTTTTTTTTTTGTTGTTTAGTAGCATACCACCCTGTGTTAAGGTAAGGACATTGCCTTACATTTCATGTTTTCATGACATCTAAAGTAATGGTTTCAAACTGTGAGCCTCTAACTCCTAGGGACTATGAAATAATTTTATATCTCTAATTTCATACATACATATATTTTTCTTTCAGTCTAATATACTACAAGTATGAAGTTCTCATATACCAATAAGTTAGGAATTGCCAAGCAGGTTCTAGATTCTTTGAACATAATAGGCACTTAGTAAGCATTTTATGGATAAAATTAAAATAATAAAATGTAGGTATAAAGAAAGGTTTTTTAAAAAGATTAAAATCCAGACTCTTTTGAAATGAAAATTTTACTACCATATATTAATTATGCACATGAACAAATTTAGGAAGCTACTTAAGGATTGCTCTTTGAGGAAAGGAACAGGTAGTGTAATTTTTAGTATACCCTCCTTTTTCACCGAACCTAGCACACTGCCTACACATGTGTGTAGTATTTACTCAGTAAGTATTTGTTCATTCATCAGTTTTTTCAGAACTGTACTTTATTATAATACTAAAATAGAGGTTTGAGTTGTGCCAGATGGCATATGGGATCATTTAAACTTATATAAATAATAAAGCTTAAATTTTTAGTTTGGGTGACACCATAAATTAGTTTCTGATTGGCATATTCTCTAGGCTTTTCCAAGCAGTTTTTTCATGTGATATTTGCTATAGAACTTAGATTCTTAGTATACAATGGGCATAATAAAGACCTAATTTTAATTTAACAAGAGCTATAAATGTTAATTATTTTTCAGGTGAATGCAGAACATTGACACAAGAATCATGTGACATATCTCCAGTGTTAACTCAGGCAATGGAAGCCCTGCAGGATCGACCTGTCTTATACAAGTTGGTGACTTTTTCCTAATGAAAAACAGATAAATCTATGTTTTCTTTGAAAATTTACATTAATTTTCAGTGTTACCAATTCATATGCAGCAATATGAGCAGTATCTATGATAATTTGCAGTGATATTTTCACCTCCTATTGTATGTATATCATTGGAACATCAACTTATTTGAATATTATTTACTTAAATGATATGATAATGAATATGTAAGAATATGATAAAGAAGGAAAAAAACAGAATGTTCTCCTCTTGTTCATGTAGAGATTAGGGGCTTTCCCCCAGTCTGTCATTTTCTTAACTAAGCTTAGAATTATAAATAACTAAAATTCTTCTATCAACCTTGCCCCAGACAGAGGAGAC